GCTCTTCCACAAAATACCACGTGCGGGTGCGTGAAACTTCATGACCCATGTGCAGAAGTCGGTATTTTGTGGAAGAGCCACACTCAAGGGGCCAAAGAGCTGCATGTGGCTCACGAGCCACAGTTTGCTGACCACTGAACTAGCCAAACTTTTTTAAAAAATCCAATTTTAATCCCACATACTACTGGTTATTACATTCTTTTTCTTGTCTTCAACCGAGCTTCTAGGGAGTAGTCTACATCTTCATCTCCATGTCCTCTCCTCCCATTTATTCCTTGGATCTAGTCCCTCTGACCTCTCCCCAAAATCTATGCTGAACACACTTTCACCAAAGTTTCAAATTACTTCCAAACTACTAAATTCACTGGAAATTTCCTGATTTATTTGACTAATTAATGTCACTTGGCATTGTGAGTCACCCTATCCTTGCATCTCTTTCTTCTGTTAGCTCCTATAGGCTATGCTCTTCCTACACCTAATATGGCTTCTTCATAGCATCCTTAATAGACTCCTTTTCTATCATTCACTATTTAAATAAATTAAAAAAACAGTTCAATTCATACTCATTTCTACCCTCTTCACTCTTCCTAGTGACCTCATTAGTATCTACCAGAAGCAGACCTTGGCAATTTGGGGATGTCCAGAATCTGAATCTCCTATGTTACAGGTCTTGAAGATAAACACAGCCCACCTTCCATGACTGACATAGAAAAGGTTGGGTCTTTGCTTTCCCAGCTTTTTGGCAACTAAAACAAAGGCATGAAACCTAGGCCTGACCAAGTAACCCCCAGAAATGTAGATTCTGCAGTAAGTGATTAGGAGAACTAGAACAACAGATAATTCATCCTGGTGGCAGTGGCCACAGTAAGGTCAGCTTTATCCCATGCTGGGGGAGAGGAGGGCTGTAGTGATGTGGGTACTGGGCATGGTGATATTTAGTATCCAGTGATGATGATAGTGGCAGTATTGTCATTAGGCTGGTTCTGGCATCTGATTTTGACTTTTGCTCTGGTGGATTGACATCCCATTGTTCCTGCTTACTTTCTAAGTTTGTGTCTCCTGCCTGGCAATTCTATGACCCACCCAGTGCCTTTTCAACAAATGGCTTTTCTGCTTAAATCAGTCTGACTCCCAAATCTATATATCCATCCTTTCCCACAACCTGGGTATGTGCCCCGACTGGGAATTGAACTCCTGACCCTTTGGTGCATGGGACGATGCTCCAACCAATTGAACCACACCAGACAAGGTGGATAAGTTGCCTTTTAAGAAAAGTCTCCACAGGCAAACTCATCTCTTCAATATGATTTTCGTCATTTTCCTAGCGTAGTAAATAACACCTATGACATATTCAATCTAAACCTTGAGAGGGAAGCATCTTAGATTTCTCCCACCGTCATCACTTAAACGGAACCAATTTTACCTCATGAAGATCTTCAATTTTACCTCTTAATACATCTCAAATCAATCCCTCCTTTATATTCCTATTCCTCCTCACTAGAACCATTGTTCTAGCTTCCTAACTAGACCCCTTATCCCAGTATCTACTCCTCTGACCTATTCTCTACTTAGCTGCCCAAGGGAATCTTTCCAAAAACCCAAAGTAATCATTTCATTCTTCTATGTAAATTCTTCCATGGCTCCTTACTGGCCCCAAGATAAAACTTATACCCTTTCTTTGGATCTGTCTCCTACTTGACTTTCACCACCTTTTCACCTGCATCCTGTACTCCACTCAGGCAAAATTACACATTTTTCCCAGACCAGGCAGTACATGTTTTTGCACTCCAAAAGTACTTGGTCCCAGCTGGCATTGATCAGTGGTTGAGCATTGACCTATGAACCAGGAGGTCACGGTTCGATTCCCTGTCATGGCACATGCCTGGGTTGAGGGCTAGATTCTCAGTGTGGGGGATGCATTATTGATGTTTCTATATCTCTCTTCCTCTCCCTTCTTCTCTGAAATCAATAAAAAAAAATTTTGAAAAAGTACTTGGTGAGGCTGACAGTCACAATGCCACCTCTACCTCTCCCCCGCCTTCCACTCCATAGAGATGACACACCAGGCCAGGCAGGGGACTCTATCACCCTGGCCAAAATAGATATGGGTAAATGACCTAATAAAGTTAATCATAATCTTCCCCTCAAAGCTATCTTATTTTTGAGGACATGGTGGTAGAAGCATATAAGATTGAAGCAGCTAGCATTTAGTTATCTCTGTCACATGGAGAATGTGTGTTCATGGCAGGAAAGAGAATGAGACCAAGGCACAAAGTAAAGCAGAGCCCTGACAGATGGAGTGGGAGAGACATGGTAACATTTGTTTGGGTCCCGAATTCAGCTCTACCTGAAGTCAGTAATACCACTACACAGTTCCCTTCTTGCTTAAGCTGGCTTGTGTTGGTTCCTATCACTTCTAATTAAACCAGCCCTCATACAGAAATGGAAGTGTAAAAAGAACAGACTCCAGAAGGTGGAATTGTCAGAACTGAAGTGAAATTTCAGTGGGTATCTGATGGTCCTTGGTTGAGAAGTTGGAAATCCTTGTTATCTGGTATCAAGTTGGCTAGTTAAATGATCTTCTATTTTATCTTGAGATTTGGGTCATGCATCCATCATAGATGGAGATTTCAGGGACACACTGGGAAGATGTCTGGATATGGGAGCATGCTGGCCTTTTCTCAAGATATTCAGTAAGGTTCTGCAGTTCAGCTTTCTTCTATGCTGGCAGAACCAGAACTGCATACAGCTGTTTAGAGTTGCCTTTTCTGCTTGTGGCTAGCAAGCTAAGACTGCCAAGGGTCTAATAATCATGTGTTTTATAGATGATAAAACCAGATCCTCCTCCCCCAGCTAAAGTGAGTGAGAATAAAGGCATAGAAATAGGAAATCCAATAGGAGATACTGGAGCTTAGGGCTTGGGAAGTTCCAGAGATAAAGACTGATCCTCCAAGCCACACCTGAATGCTTCTTTTTTCTCCCAAGTTAAACAGTATTTATTTCACTTAGCATTCAGACAGTGCCAAGGATTCTGGTGCCTGGGGACCTTGGCTGTGAATCCTGTGGGAGAGAGTGGGATGTATTGGTCACAAACCTCATACTCCTTCTTGGACTCTCTAGGCTACCTCCTTCTTACTCTTCCTTAGTTGGCACCCCACCCATGCCAAGTAGCCCCTCCGCTGCCACATCTATAGTAGAAATGCCACATCCAGGCCATGGGATCTGAATTCCCAAGCAGATGCCCAGAGGACAATGATGCAACTCAGAGTGAGTTAGTACCCTTTGGAGTGCACCTTGGCCAATGGAAAACAGGAGACATGAAGGGAACAGTTAGACAAATTCCCCCTCAACTCTCCTCTTCATGTCCTGCTCCAAGGTGAGGTTTTCCTTGCAAACACCTTGTGCTTAGCAAACAAACCTGTCAGATCTTCTCTCTCCCCCTGGCTCATATGAAATTGTGGTCAACACAGTAAGGCATTGTATTACATTCCTCCGCATCTTTCCTTGCCTCACAAGTCTCTCCTTTTGCCATCCTGGGCTTCCATCTTCCAAAAAAGTATGAGTACTTTAATCCTTGCCCTAGAGTCTGCTTTCTAGAGTGCTTGGGTTAAGACAGGAGCCACAATCAAAGACCCCATCTCAACATTGGTCCCAATAGTAACAAGAAAGTCCTGAGGACACAACTGACTTTTTCCTGCTCAAAAACAGGGAATCTAGCCCAGACTGCTGGCTTTCTGTAAGGGGACCAGTGCCAAGGTTGCCAGATCAAGCCATTTCTGGCCTACTCTAGGAGAAAGGCTAACAGCTGAAGACTCTGCCTGTGGTCCTCAAGTTATATAAGTTCTTGAGGCTCCCCAAATTTGGTGTCCATTGCCATACTCCCTTCAGGAATATTTTGGTGAACTGGCCTCAGTGTAATAATAGACCATGGCCAGAGGGTGAGAGTAGAGCAACCTGCAGGTTGGTCAGAACGAGTGGTGGTGTGGTTGTCTCACTCCTGTGCTAAGCATCTCCTTGGGTTGAGGCTTAGGAGCCAGTGCAACTCAGGGGTTTGTGACTATCTGCTCAGGGCCACTGGTGCATGAGCCACCCAAGTAATGAGTAGGGAATCTGTCTCTGGGGGTGTTGAGCAGATTAAGGTTGACTTATTGCCAGATAGGCCCTATGGAAGCCATGATGTTAAGAGAGAAGGAAATGAACAAAGTGTGGCCTGTTGCTGAGAGACAGAAATTCCAAAGGCCAGATCCAGACTCAAGGACAAGGACTCAGTAAGATCTTGCTGATGGTTATTAGCTCACAAGAGCCCTAGAATCAAATCAATCAGTTTGAAAGGAATTGTATCACTAGAAAATCCTCATACCTGGCAAATGAGGTTCTGGGAATGTATAATCTCTAAGACATTCTTTGGGCCCAAAATCATGCCCAAAGGGAAGAGGGAAGCTTCAGTTCCAGAAGGGGCATCCTCTCAGGGATGTCCATAAAGGAAAATAGGTAAGGGAGATACTTCCCAGTGGAAAGGATGAAGAACAATCAGTTTTGATCAAGAAACTTGCTCCACTGTCCAGAAGGATGTGCTATATACTATAGATCAGTGACCATTGTTTTCTCTTCTCCCCTATTCCAAATTGGAAGGTGTGTTTCTTCTTTTTAAAAACTGGTTATCCTATTTTCCTCCCCCATTTTATATTGGTTATATAGAAGTAGCTAAATTTATTTTTTGGATATGGATTGCAAAATCATGAGAAGTTATATCCAGACCTGATCAAGAATTGCACATTACAGAGGGATCCTTGACTGGGGGTTCGTTCAATAAAGCAACTGGATATGATCCTGTTTTGTCTTCCATTGGGAAGTGAGCATGTTTTTTTTTGGGGGGGGGGCTTAGGGTCATTGCATTGATAGACAGGCACACTTTTGAAATTGTATGTTTGTCAAGAAAACTATAGGTGGATGCTGAGCAATAAAGAAGTGGAATATAGTAGATGCACATTGCTTATTTGTCCATCATCCCTTCCTTTGGGGAGCCATTCCTCCCCTCCACACAGTCCTGGTGAAGTTGTCAATTATGGTGGTCTACTCTTCCACCCTAGAGGTGGGCACATGTCCATTCTGGCCAAGGTTCTCCCTAGGACTTTAGAGCTAGAACTAGTGAGGCCAAGCCAAAAGATGGAGACATCATTATCTGAACCCCTAGTTCCAGCCATGCCTGAAGGAAGATATATCCTTTGATTTATCAATTATGTAACCCAATTAATTTCTTATTGGCTTAAACATGTTTGAGTTGAGTTTTTGACACTTGCAGCTGAAAGGCTTCAGACTACTAAATGCACAAACAACAGAGACACAAACACCATGTTGTTCAAACTCATTAGACATTTTACAAGTCTTCCATGATCTTATAGGGGTCAGCATACTTTTTATCTAAAAGATCAGATATTTTAGAGTTTGTGGGCCACACATAGTCTCTGTATTATTTAAAACATTTTTTACAATCCTTTAAGAATGTAAAAACCATTCTTAGTTACAAGCTGAGGCCTATAGGCTATACAAAAATAGACTGCAGGCCAGATTTGTCCACAAACCATAGTTTGCTGACCCTTTACCTAGACTCTGCCGACCTCTGCAGCCATTGGCACACAATCTGGCAGTTCCTAAGTATGAAGCAAAATACTTTTAAATACCATTTTGGTTCAAGCTCTTAACGTGACTTTGTAATAAGTTAAGGTTCAGGGTAGAGTTAGGAATGGGAAAAGAGTCTTGGTGCCCATTGTCTGCACATAGTAGGCACTGAATAAATGGTAATCGTTATTATTTCTTGGTAATTAAGATAATTTATCAAAATGATGCACTGTCCAAATGTCTGTCCAAAAGTCCCAGTTCATCCTCAAAGACCCTTCCCTTCTTTTAATATCCTTCAGGAAACCTTTTTCTGATCTATCAAGTCTGAATTACCAATCAAGTCTGAATTAGGTACTCTTCTTATCATAGACCATGTGTGGCCCTCCATTGTAACTACATTATTGGTCTGTCTTTCCTCCTAACTTTGAGTACTTAGAACATGCCTGAGCCCAGGCTCCTAGCACAGTGCTTAGAACCTAGTACTGAGGGGGCCGCTATACCTCTATGTGAACATCTGTTTGAATATGTAGGTGCTACCTATCTCCATCAGTGTCTAGGGTGGTCAGCATTGTGCTGATGTACAGATGCCCTTGACACTGGTTCTTCTCTCAGTTGAAAATTATTAATTGATATATACCATACCTTACCTGGTAATGTTATTACTGGATCTATTTTTCATCCCATTCCTTCCAAAAATGAGTAAAAGACAGAGGAAAAGGTAGGAATAGGTTTTCTTAAAAACTGTTATAAAGGACGAACCCTCTGATCCCACCCTCACATCCTTTGCTCTCTGATTTGCTATCAGATCAAAGGCCTCCAGCCTCAGCAACATCTGAGGATCAGAGTGCCCACCACACAGGTGGGGCCACAGACCAGTTTAATCCATGTCTATGGGGTGGAGAGAAAATTATCCTTCTGAGAAAAACATGTGCAAGTCCCTGCAGGCCCAGGAAAGGCTGGCAAAGGCAAGATGAATCATGGTGTTCTAAGCTGAAATCTTTTGCCCATCTCACAGACACAAGCAGGAAGTACCACCATTGGTCAGCTTTATATGGCACCCACAGTATACAACAGACAGACAAAGACAGACAAAGCACACACCACTTCTAAGCTGAACACTGCTCACCATCTAGAAGCACCTTGGATAAGCACGTGAAACACTATTGCATAAGAAAGATATACTTTTTAAAGGAATGAAGAAGTATTTTGGCAAAACATCTACTCTCTCAGGTCCTGGGTAAAGAGGGACTTTAAATTCTGAACCTTCTAGATATTGAAAATCACTCCCTTCTTAATGGCTGTATATACAGCAGCAAACTTCCAAGTCTGTTGTCACAGCCTTCTACATGTATTCTGAATCTACTTTACAGGTGGTCAAACTTAGAAATAGAAGGTGGCCTGGAGCAAGGGGACACTAGGGCTGGCTCCCGGTGAGGGCAATTAGGAGGTGTCTCAGCTCAGCCAAAGGCAGGGCCTCTGTCTATATGGAGAGGAAAGGAAAAGCTAGGGTGGCCAAAACTCCCTTTTTCTTCCAGCCCAGAGAAGTAGTGGTTCCACAGGAAAGGCTGTCAGGAAAGAAAGGCAGGCTCCCACTCTTGGTGGTAGAGGCCAGGGCAGGCCAGAGTTCCTCCTGAAGCCTCTTCGGTGATGCTCTCTGTGTTTGGGGACTGTGGGTTCACTGTTTCCGTAACTCTCTTGTCACCTGCATCTGAGCCTAGACTTCAAGTCCTTAATTATTTAAAAAGGCAGTGTGGGGAGATGGTTTAAGAGAATATGCGACACAGAACAATCTTTCTACAGCCTCCCTTTGGGTAGGCTTGGGCTTTTGAAGATCTCCTTCACCCTGTCTCCTAGGGATATTTAAAGGCAGCTTTTATGAGACGCTATACTGTCTTTGTGTTTCTCTTTTATGTGTTTTGTTTTGTTTTGATATATATTCTTTAAAAAGCAATAGTCCTTTGGTCCCTAAACTCTAAGGAATGATATGATTTTGAATGAAGTAAATCTGAACTTCCCTTGCAGAGAAGCCTCTGGCACCACCAAGTCCCTCTGCTGGTTCCCTTCGACAGTCCATCTTCAGCCAGTCCCAGCTGCCTTTCCAGCCTGAACTTTATGCCACAGGCATAGAACAACCCACTTGATGAAGACAATCCTTAAAGTGGCCTGAGCCCCAGGCACTGGCCTTGGGCCCAATCCACCTCCGTCTGCGGCTGCTCCTTCAAGAAGGGCTGCTTAAGCGCTTCTGTGCTTTTCCTCTCTTTTCTTCTTCTCACTCTTCTGAATCTGTTGTTGGTATTAATTGATAAGGACAGGGAGGTAGGGGGTGGGAGGCAAAAGTCAGTCTGGAGGGCAGGATAAGAATAGCAGCTTGCCCCATCAGCTACATCTTAGGTGAGTGCCTGGGCCTCTCTTCTGGAGGAGCACAGCTACAGCAGGGCCCTGGTCAGCACCCTAGCCCAGCACCCACCCCAGCGGGGCTCCCTGGGGTAGCTCAAGTGAAGCAGGGCCATGAGGACCTCCTGAGATAGCGAATCTCTAAAAGTTTCAGGCAGCTAGCCCCACCAGAAACCTAACAAAGCCTGTCATCTCCCTCCCCATCACCCACCAAGCCCTGCAGGTACTGCTTCTTCAGCGTACTTGCTTCTCTCCTTATCTCCATGTTAACTGCCATTTCCCCAGCTCTTACATCATGTTCCCTTTTTGCTTAAATTCTTCATGATTCTCCATCATCTTCAGGATAAAATTCAAACTCATGGCCTTTAAGACCCTTCACAAGCTTGCCCAAACCTACTTTTCTAGTCTCGTTTTCCATCCCCCTGCACTCCCATGGCCCCCTGTGGCTATCTCTGGAGTAAAAATAACTGGTTGGATCTAGTTCTTAATTATCTCTCCCAGAATATGGGGATGGGAAATGTCTATTTTATCTCAGTTCTTGAACTGAAGGAAAAATCACAACGTCTCAAACTAAGGATTCCTCCTAACTCCTGGCTCTTCTCTTCCGGACTTTTTCATAAATGAATGCCCCAACATCCCAAAAAGAACAGAAAGCTGAGAGGGTCTCAGTCACTCAAACCCCATTTGCCTGGGGCCCACCAAGGACTCACCTTTCTGTGACTGGTCAGTGACAGCAGATCAGTAAGGCCTGTTGGCATCCTTGGGCCTCTTTAGCTGGACCTTGAGCCTCTTCATGCCAATTTGAAAGCCATTCATGGCCTGAATAGCTGTCTGGGCACTGGTTGGATTGTCAAAGCTAACAAACCCTGGAGGTTTGGCACAGAGGTTAGCTGGGAACTCTGCTTGGCAGAGCCTCCTTTCTCTCCGACCAGCCTCTTCTCCCTTCCCCTCAGGCCAGTTCCATCAAACATATACCCCTCTACCCTCCATTGTTTGCTCTTACATGTACACACACTCATACTTACATGGTCAAATGGTTTGAATTTTATAAAAGTGTGAGTCTTGGAAGGACAGGAAGCAATTCTGAGTATGTGGGTGTTGGTTGCGGTATTTTCCTGTCTTCCCCTAGCATGGGTTGACTCCCTCCTCAACTCCCATTCTTGTCCTCTGAACTTCAGTTGGAGTTGGAAGGGATCTCTGGTCCAGACCCCGACACCTCCTGTCCTGGCTAGACTCTAAAGCCTGACCTGGTCAAACATCTTCCAGATACCTGACCTTGCCAGATAAACGTGAATTAGACTTGTTCCCGGTCTGGGCTTAGCTCCACCACTGGTCTGTAACTCTGCTTTGTGCTATATGCTCAGTCTTTGGGAATCATTGGCTTATGGAGGAACAATCTTAGGCTCTGAAAGGAATCTTAAAGTTGGCAGTGTGGGAGGCTCAGGGATTGGGCCCAGCTTACCGAAACACTTGCTCTGGTTGGTGGCTCGATCCACAAAGACTTTGGCAGAGACGACAGCTCCAAAGGGCAGGAATGTCTGTATGAGTTCTGCATCACCAAACTCCTGAGGCAGGTGATAGATGAAGAGGTTACAGCCTTCGGGGCCTGCAGGAACAGCAGCAGGCTGGTTCAGGGAAGGGACCCTGAGTCCAGCCCCACCAGGTCCTGATGTCCAGCCCTGTCCCTCACCTTCTCTTTGCTGCTGGGGCAGGGCTGAAGGCTGCTGAGGGAAAGCTGTGCTCACTGGGGCATAGGCTGTTGGGTAGGCTGGTGAAGACAGAGGTGGGAGTGGGCAGTGAACCCCAGGAGCCATCCCCCAAGCAGGGCCCCATCTGCCTGGCCAACTTTGACCAATTCAGCCCAGTCCACGGCAACCCTCACCCTTAGAGAGGCCATTCTAGGCCCAGGGGTTGGGGGATGGGAGGGTTGACTCCTCAGAAAAGAGCATAATCCCCCCACCCCTCACCCCCAATTTCCCTATTCCTTTCTGAGACCTTTCAAACCCTCCCAGGCTGCGCAGAGCCCAGTGAAACCTGCGTAGTGGTGCATCCCAGCGTAGGCCTGCTGCAGCGGGTCAGCCACACCTGGGCTCTGGGCTGGGGAGAGAGGGGTACAAGGCCACAGTGAAGGCCTGCCGGTCGGCAGGGTGAAAGGCAACAGGGAGAGAGGAGAAATCCTTTCCAGGGAGACCCCCCGCCACACACACACACACCCTGCTCTCCCCAACTCCCCCGTATCCCCTCACCCTCGCCCCCGCTCCTCACTCCATTTCGGGGAGATTTTGGCGGAGCGGGGGCGGGAGGGGGCCCACCTGGGTAAGGGGAGAGCCCGTTATTGTAGAGGGTGTCAGGGCCTGGCTGCCCGTTGGTCTGAGGGGTCAGGGAGTTGAATCCATTGACTCCGAAAGGTGCCGGGAGCCCCGGAAGCGCGCCCGGGCCACCGCCAGGAGGGGAGTTGGCTGCAGGTGGCGGAGGAGGTGGCAGAGTCAGGCCACAGCCGCCCTCTTGGCCTGTCCCCGCCTCACCCCGTCCCCCTTGCCACCCCATCAGTACCTGCCGCGGGTAGCAGCGGCGTGGCGACTAGGCTGAAGGCCGCCACGTGCTGCATCTGTGCGGCCACCGCAGCCACCGGGCCTAGTCCTGGGCCCTGGGCCGCTGCCAGCAGGGCCGCCTGCTGCTGCAGGATCTTTGGGAAGGAAGAGGAGCTGTGGATGGCCCAGCGGCGGACAGCTGCTCCAGCTCCCGACCCGGCTGGCCCACCGCCAGCCCACTGCGTCCTCCAGGGACCGGGCACCTACCGCCGTGGTGTAGGCTCCGCAGGCGCCAAACGGCAGCGGTGCCGGGTGGAAGACGCCCAGCTGGCCCACCATCTGCTGCATACGACGCAGGGCTCGCTCCCGGTCCGTGTCCGCCAGCTTGACCACGAGGCTGGATGAGGCACCCTGGGCAGGGCAGGGGAGTCCACGGTGACTGGTCCAGACCCCAGTCTTGGCCCTGGGCTGAGCGCCTTGCACATCAGGCCCTTTCCTAGGGCACTGATCATATGTGGGGAGGAGGAGCCCGTCCCCACCCACTGGCCTCACCCTCGGCCCCTGGTGCCCGCCCTCACCGCCATGGTCCGGCTGCCGTGCAGACTCTGGATGGCCGCCTGAGCTTCCCCCTGACTCCCAAACTTCACAAAGGCACAGCCTGGGGCAGGACAGAGGGATTGGGTGGCTCAGGCCACAGGGGCCAAAGGGTCATGTGGCTCACTGAGAGTCAGGATCACCAGGAAATCCTGGGGTAGGCTCAAGTCACCTTTACTGGTGCCATCCGGGCTCCGCAAGACAGTGCACTCCTCGATATGGCCGAAAGGCTGGAACAGGCGTCTGACATCATCCTCACCCTGCTGCTTCCCCAGCATCCCCACAAACAGCTTTCGGTCCTCTGGGGACAAATTCAGGAGTGATTTAGGGACCCTAAGTCCTCTTGGACTCCCCAGAGTAGCCAGAGGAACTTAGGAAGGTAGCCCACCACAGTCTAGCAAGGAAGAGATGTAGGGAGCGAGAAGGTCCGGAGCTACGAGGTTGGGTTTCTTTGAGGGGCAGGATGATCTGCAGACAGATCTGGAGTAAAGGAATTCAACCCAGATTTCCATCAGGAAACCCGGGGTCTTAGAAAAAGTGGAAAGACTCACTGCTGCTCTTGTGGAAATGGATTAGTTTGATATCTTTGGTTGGGTGGAACCCTGTATGCATCTTTTATATGTGTGACCTTTCTGTTCTTAAAGTTTGGAAAAGGCCATTTTTGGACCATTTCTGCCCTATTAAGGGAGGAGGTCCTTAGAGAAGGCCTTTGTATTCATACTGGGTCTGGAGAAGAGAATTATACCCTTGTGGGTTAGCCTGATGGCAGTGGATAGAATCGATGTCCCTTCCTGCTCCAATCGAGGGTTCTGGATCAAAAAGCAGCACCAGAAGCAGTTAACTCATCATTCTGTCTCACCCCCTGACACTGAACTATGGAATGACAACCCCCAAACCCCAGCACCGAATTCAACTTGGGTGCTCCCAGAGACCTAAAGAGGGCAGGAATCTTGGGTTCCTAAGCCTCCAGCATTATCATTTCTCCCACTATACTTGCTAACCCTCTGACCCCTTTTCTTACCTCCCACATCCACCCTTCCATCACTGAGCTTCCAGAGCCCTCACTGAGCCCTTTCTGACTTTCTCTATTTTCCTGTCCTGATCCCTCTCCAGGAGGAACAAGTTCTGCTTATAGACCTGGATGGCTACCTGAGAACAAATCTGATCCCTCCCCGTGTCCACCCTTCCTCTGGGAGTGGCAGAGAGAGACCAGGAAAGGGACTGTAAGCTGGACTGTGTTCCTTGGAGAAAGCTGGAGAGCTGGAGCTGGACATTCAGTAAATCCGGCCTCAGGAGCGCTATCCAGGAGCCTGGGGTAGAGAGGTCTAATCCACAGGGCCTGCTGTCGAGCCCTGCTTCTTCTGCATCAAGGTAAGTCTCTGAATTTGGGATGGGCCTTTCTCCAGGTGATACAAGTTGGGAGAGAGGAAGTGGGTGGGAATCTGGCTTCTGGCTTCAGGCTTCACCTTCAAGGTCCTGAAGCCCAAGAAAACCCATCCCAAAGTCCTTTACTCCTTCACAAGCATGGCTAGGCTCATGGGGTCCTTGGATCCCAGGCGCAACAGAGCAAGGCTGGTGAGAGTCAAAAGGAAGAACGGACTGTCTGAAGTTAGCAGTGGAGGGAATCTCCAACAAGGCTATATGTGTGTCCATATTTCACCTGGATGGTGTGGGATTCAGCCCAGGCTTTCCTAGGTACCCAGAGGTGTCTGTCAGTCAATGCCGTGTTTGTGTGGAGGGTGGGGACTGCAGGAATAGTGTGAGACAGACATAGTGTGTTTCAGCAGAATCTGTCCAGAGGATTACTGCCCAGCCAACCCTGAGGGAGAAGAGATAGATAATGTACTTGTGGCCAGAATTCTAGAGGAGGTGCTGACCTTCTGTAGTGAGAGTATAATCTGGTGGGTGTGCTCCACTTCTGGGAGTGTTAGCCACAAAACAGTGCCATTGGAACATACCACTGGTTTCTCAGCCTTTAAAAAAAGCAGAGGAATCCATTGTTCTAACAAAATATTAGGATGAAGTTCAAAACATAGGAGAAAAGCAAAACTGCTCTGACTGAGGTCAGAGAAGTGTGTGTGTGTGTGTGTGTGTGTACAGTGTGTGTGTGTGTGTGTCTGCATGCTGGAGTTCCTCTTGCTTCATTTCCCCCTAATATCCCCTAGATGGGGCTCCAAGGAAACTTCATTGAAAATCACTGACCTAAAAAGAGAATACAGTTCCAGAGGGTGTATGAAGAGGGATCTGTGATCATCCTATTCAGGAACCTGAGAAGACAGGAAAGGTCTTTCATGAATCTCTTGACCAGTATGATGTTGGTGGCTTTGCCTTGCCATTGGAGGATAAGCCTCATTTGGTCAGGGAATCAAACCCCAGAAGACTGTGTCATTGGTCTGAGGTTGAACATTTAAATATGTCCATGGGGTTGCATAAGACCCAGGAAGAGTTGGAGAAAATCTTAGGGCCTCCAGAGTCCCAAACTTAAAGTGGCTTCATGATGCCCTAAATTATAGTGCAGCTGTGTCATTGGGAAGGGTCTACAAGATAGTCATTGTACCTAGGTAAGAGGTCATGCCATATGGACCAGCATTCAGATAGGTGGGAAAAGAGATGTCAAGGCTAGGATAACACCCCCAGGATGGGAAAGAGAGTTGTGTGGATAGTAGTCTTATCTTTTATCTACTCTTCTTCTTGTTGATCTTTTCTGCAGGTGGTTGTCAGTTCAAGGTCATATTACAGACCATGAAATTCTATGATCCTTTTTTTCCAGTTGGAGTCTCCCAAGTTTCAAATTTCCATTTCCATTACAAGGCATCGACCCTATGGCTCTGGGCTACTGGACTGTACAGAATTTGAAATTGAAATGAGGCCAGGATATAGGCTGGGCTCTGTGCTGCCTGTTTCCCAGGTATCACCTTGAATCTTGATACTCTGCCATTTTACAGGGATCTGAGTGGTGTTCGGCAGGTGACAGTGGCCATAAGTCTTAGGTGATTCTTAAATGGTAGAATACATTTTCCACAGCCTCAAGATTTGGAGGGCTGATCAACGCCCCAAGGGAGAGATAATGATGTGATTTAGTCCAGATAATTCAATTTCCTTCAGGTCAAACTCTACCAGTTTGGTAAAAAAGAAAAAAGAAGAAAAAAGAGTCTGTAAGAGGTAGGTCAGAAATGGCTGAATAAAACCATCCCTTGGGTGGTGGGTGGGTCCCTAGAAAGATGGGAATATCAGACAGGGAGGTTCAATCTTCCTGAAGTGGGAGGAATCAAAAAGATAGCATCAATGTGGAGTTGAGACATGGTGTTGGAAAGTTGAATGGTATGCATTTTTCTGTTGGCAACCAATGTGTACTCCTTGCTCTTTTATCAAATATTTTTTTGAAACCGAACCAATTTGTTTGGGTCCAAGAGGCCTATCCCCATGATGCTGGTCAAACAGGTCAGGGACTCTAATCTAGAAAATGATGAGGTTTAGAGTCCAGAGTCAGCCCACTCCATCTTCCTCAGGAATGTCACCAAGATGCTATTCAAGAAAGGAGGCCTTGCCTCAAGTTGTCCCAGAGGAATTCCTGAAGTATTTTCAAGTTTCTGGCCTCTAGGTCCTTCATACCCACTCACCTCCATATAGGATGTCATGATTACACGAACTATGTAAGGGCAAGGTTTCAGCATTGAGATACCAACCATCAACCACCAAACACATCCTAAAAATACTAGTCCACCTTTCCTTCCAAATACCAACCCAGGAGTTTCTGCTGGTGGCAGCATTTGGAGCAAAGCATCTCTCCCTGTGTTCTTAGGGATAACTGAAGCTCAAGGAGCCAAGGAAGACTGGGAATTAACATGAAGGAAGTATCCAAGGCAAAGAGTCTTCTGGCAAGATCTGATGAGTGTCAAGAAGGCCTTTAATTGCACACACACGCACATCCCTCTTAGAACTAATAAATTAAGCAAAGTTGCAGAATACAAAATGAACAAATAAAAGTCAGCTGTGGCCCTGGAAGGTATGCTCAGTGGTTAGAGTGTTGGTTTGATTTATGGTCAAGGGCATGTACCTGGGTTGCAGGTTCAATTCCCAGTGCCAGTGGGCATGTGCAGAAGGCAACCAATTGATGTATTTCTCTCATATTGATGTCTCTCTCTCTCTCTGAAAGCAATGGAAAAAATATCCTTGGGTGAGGATCAAAAATAATTTTTTTAACTCAGTTGTATTCCTATACACTAGTAGTGAACAATATGAACAGGAAATTATGAAAATAATTTCACTTATAATAGTATCAAAATGAATAAATTTAGGAATAAACTTAACCAAGGAGGCAAAAAACTTATACCCTGAAAACTACAAAATATTGCTGAACTTAAAGAAGATGTAAATAAATGGAAGATAATCCCTGTTCATGATTTAAAGACATGATATTGTTAAATGTCAACACCACCCAAAGTGATCTACAAATTTAATGCAATCTCTGTCAAAATCCCAATGGCATTTTTGGTAGAAATAAAAATCCATTCTAAAATTCACATGGAATCTTAAGAGACTCTCAATAACCAAAGCAATCTTGAAAAAGAAGCAAGTTGTGATCTGGCTTAGTTGGTTGAGCATCATCCATGTACTGAAAGTTTGCTGGTTCAATTCTTGGTCAGGGCACATATCCAGGTTGCAGGCTCGATCCCTGGTTAGGGAGTGTGGGGGAGGCGGCCGATTGATGCTTTTCTCTCTATCCCTCTCCCTTTCTCTCTCTCTCAAATCAATAAACATTTCTTTTTTAAAGAAGCAAGTTGAAGGCCTCACACTTCCTGATTTTAAAACTATTACAGCCTTTCCGGTGTGGCTCAGTGGTTGGGTGTCAACTCATGAACTAAGAGGTCCTCCATTTGACTCCCAGTAAGGGCACGTGCCCCAATTGTGGGCTTGATCCCCTGTAGAGGGTGTGCAGGGGGAAGCTGATTAATGTGTCTCTCTCATCAATGTTTCTCTCTATCCTTCTCCCTTCCTCTCTCTCTAAAAAAAAAATCAATGAAAACATATTTAAAAAATAAAATGTAAAAGCTTATTACAAAGCTATAGTAATCCAACAATGTGATACTGGCATAAAGACAGACATATAGATCAGTGGAATAGTATAGAGAGCCCAGAAGTAAGCTCTTGCATGTATGGTCAAATGATTTTGACACAAGTGCCAGTCTTTTCAACAAATAGTGCTGAAAAAACTGGATGTTTACATGCAAAAGAATAAAGTTGGACTGCTACCTCACATCATATAAAAAATGAGCTGAAAATGGATCAAAGACCTAAACA